CGACTAAGGCTTTCCTGGATGTAGCCTTTTTGTAACAAATCCAACTCTTTGGTTTCTTCGAGATTGTATGTTTGACGAGGTATGATGGAATCTTGAATTAGATTGGTTTGGTGTTGTTTTCCTCTTTTCAGTGGCAGCTCGTTAGGTAGATCACCTTACACTTCTCGAAAATCCTGTAAAAGAGATGAAAACACACTAGGCAAATCCTTGTTAATGTTAGAAATCGAAACAATTGATTCCCTAAAGCGAACAAGAATGCAAGGTTGTTTGTAAAGAAGGTTCTCTCTCAATTCTTTTGTTCTCACACATAGATTTTGAGTCACTCTTTTCTTCTCACATTTAGGTTCACTCACCTCCCATGGGTCATTATTCTTTTGGCTTTTGTAACTAGTGACCTCTTTTGCTTTTGCCTCTTTCTCAAATTTTTCTTTTTTTGCTTTCCCTACCTCATCACAAATTATCATTTGATCTTTAGGGACTAGAAGTGTGTCATTCTTTGCTGGTCATTCTTTCTCCTTGCCAGGTTTGTCATCTCTTGGCTTTTTTTTAGAGAAGATGGAGTAGAAGATGAAGAAGGATTTGAAGGATTACCTTGGTAAGAGGATGAAGTACTTTGGTAATGTTCACTGAATCGAGATCTCCTTTGGATTTGCGCTTCGATTGTCATTGCTTTCTTTAGTGTATCTTCAAGGTTTTCGTACCCTTGTAAATCAAGAAGATCGGTGATGTTTGAGTTTAAGCCGACGACGAATCTTGACACACTGACCTCTTCTTTTTCGGTTATGTTAGCCCTATTGAGTAAGGACTGCATCTCCTTATAGTACTCTTCAATTGAACTTCTACCTTGTCGAAGTTGGTGTAGTCGTAGTTTAACTTCTCGTGTATAATGCGTCGGTAGGAATCGCTTCCTTATGGTTTGTTTGAGGTCAGTCCAAGAAGTGATTGTTGGAATTTGGAAGTTCTGGATCTTTTTCCTTGTTTGCATTCACCAAGTTTGAGCATATCCTTCGAATTGCATGGTGATGAGGTGAACTTGTTTAGCTTGGGGGCAGTCATGGTATGCGAATATGAGATCAACTTTTCCTTCCCATTCGATGTACCTGTCTGGATCATTGTCTCCTTTGAAAGATGGGATCGTGAACTTTGGTTTTGCAAAGACTTTGGGTGCTTGGAAACGTGGTTGTTCTCGCCCGGGTACCAAAAGTTCAGCTTTGTTTGGTTTTGGATTATGGTTTGGTAGATCCAGTTGTGGTTCTTGTCATTCTCTCACGATTTCATCAAATCTTTCAACTTGAGTTGTGAGTCGGGCAAGTGCGGCTAAGATAGCCGTAAGTGTCTTGCTGTTATTGTCGCCCATCCTGAAATCATAACACTCGAAAGAAAATTTTAAAGTAAAATAAAAATAAAAGAAAGAAAATTCAACAAAACAAGAAACCTCACAAGTCACTCCAAGAAAGTAACACAACGAGAGGCAAGTAAGCCGATCTTGTACTCTTTAAAACTCACTTTACCAAGAAGTCTTCCACAGTTCGTATCGGAGTTTGATTACTAGTAAAGGCGATAAGAAAACCTAAAAGTTCTAAGAGGCCAAACAAGGGTTAGACTCTAGGAGAATGAGAATGCAAGGGAGGAAGAAGTATGCAAACTCTTTAATCCTACTAAAACAAGAAAGATAATGTGTTAGATAATGCAAAAGAACAATAAACAGTAAAAACAAAAGAACCTAAAGCAGTAAGAGTCAAAGAAAAAAAAAGAACCAAACCAGAAAACCTAGAAAACGCTGGATCAACTTGAGCAACGTTTTTGATGGGGTTATCGGTGTCCAATAATTTTGGAAAATTCTTGAATGTCTTTCAATGCGTCAAGAAACCACATGTAATATTTTAGAACCAAACACCTTCATTAGTATCCAGTAGACTCTGTTGAACGGTGAGTCCTCAAACAATCTGTTTTTCATGATCGCTTTGTTTGAAGGTGTTATTGATCTCCAAAAATTCTGCTTTTTTGTGTTAATGATCTTGAATATATGAAGTTGCAATATGGAAATTTTAACCAAGAAATTCGTCCTTTAGAATTTTCAAAAAATTTGACAAGATTGTAGACTTAATCTGCCGATGAAGCTTGAATGGTGTATTTGAAGGCACTAACGAACTCCGATTGAGGTGAAATTTGGACTGGATATTAATCTTAAAATGAATATGAGATCTAGAGAATATCAACCCTATATTCCCTCATTTTCAATTTTTCAATTTTTGTGACTTTTTTTTTGGCTTTTTGATTTTTCTTTATTTTTTCAGCCTTTTTCTTCTTTTTTTTTTAAAAAAAAATAGTAAACTAACAAGAAGAATTTGAATCTAAATTAAAATTAAATAACAAGAGCCTGAAAAATGAATATTTTGTGAACTAGCTCTGTTGGGGTACCTTGACGGTTTTGTGTGCAAGAACAAATAAGATTGCTTGCTTCTTTCCAAGAGTCGGCCCAAATCTGATACCAATTGATAGGGAAGCGGTGGCGGGTTAATGAACGTTGCTCTTGTTGAAGAATCAAACCTAGAAAAGATCTAGACTCGATGAAGAATAATAAGGGATGAATGGGGAAGGTTGCGGCAATAGCTAGGGTTCTTTAGGGTTTCTTTTTTGTGCAAGAAATCAAAAGATGTCCCTTATGAAAGTGAATGGGAAAGATGATTGATGGCATGGATGGATATGTGGAAAATCGATGGATAATGTCCTATCGAACCCTCCTAGTCGCAATTAAAAGACAAACACGATAATATGGCTCTAACCAACCCTCCTAGTCGCGATGAAAAGGCAAATTAGAGTGTGAAGATTAATCTCCCTCACAAGAACTTGAAAGAACTCAAGGAGAAGAAGCTTCGAAGGCACAAGGCAATCAGCACTTACAATAATGAACTCTTGTTGTATTATTAATCAAAGAAATCTTGATTACAAAGTTGAATGAAGCCTCCTTTATATAGGGGCTGAGTTCTAAAGGTCCTAAATAACTAAATAATAATAATAAACTAATAATGTCTTAACTGTAATTCCTAATAAACTAATAATAACTAAAACTATTGTTTAACCCAATCTTAATTCCTAATAAAATAATAAATCTGATCCTAAAAGATAATTCATCATCCTATATTAAATTATATCACAAATAATCAATATAAATATTGAAAATTCGTAATATTTACAAAATCCCGTATTAATCCCGTATAGGATTTCCTGCATGCACCGCCTTCAGTAAAATGGCCATATCTTGTGTTTCCGATATCGAATTGATGCGATTAAAAAGCCGTTAGAAATATAAGAGACAGACGGTTGTATCTCCATAAGACATGTTGACTAAATAAGATCAGGATCCCATTAAAAAATTCGTCGCAAGTCTGCCACTATTCTGGTCTTCTTTTCCAAGGCTTGGACGAGTGGATCATTTGGAAGAGTTATTACTTCTTCCTTTGATATGATCCTTGTGATGCATGTATCATCCTCCCTTTCTTCAAAAAGATTCATCCTCGAATCTGAAACATTAAATGGAGCAATATTAGAATCGTTTAATGATTCATTCACATTATGCTTACCGAATAGATATGCTTTGAATCTTCGAGACTTTGTTCTTCTAAAAGGTTCAAGTAGAAACTTTAGTCCAAAGAAGAATGTATTATTGACTCTGGTGCATGTATCAGTTTCTTGGGGTTAGCTAGATATTATTGGAGATTTGTGAAGAATTTTTCAATAATTGTATCTCCACTTACCAAGTTACTCCGAAAAGATGTATCAGTCGTCTGGACTGGAAAACATCAAGAAAGCTTTGACATGCTTAAAAAGATTCTAATAGAGGCACCGATATTAGTACAGCTAGAGTCAGGAAAGAATTACGTAATCTATAGTGATGCGTCCCATAATGGTTTGGGATGTGTTTTAATATAATAAGGTAAATTGGTAGCCTATTCTTCAATGCAGCTAAAGGAACACGAATGAAATTATCCAACTCATGATTTAGAGTTAGCAGTTGTGGTGATTACTTTAAAGATATGGCGTCATTACTTGTATGGTGAATGATGCTACATTTATACAGATCATAAGAGTTTAAAATATTTGTTCACTCAGAAATAATTAAACCTAAGGCAAAGAAGATGGATCAAGTTTCTCAAAGACTATGATGTGATTATTAATTATCATCTTGGGAAGGCAAATGTGGTAGTTGACGTACTTAGCCGAAAAATCTTCGCTGCTATGAGAACGTTAGATGCTCGATTATCAATAGAAAAGGATGGTGCTTTGATTGTAGAATTGAGATTGAGACCTTCCCTATTTGATCGAATCAAGGATCTATAGAATAAAGATAAAAAAATGTTTCGATATAATGGAGCAAGCGAAGAAAGGAGAAATTAAAGAGTTTGAAATTAAGTCTGATGTGTGTTTGTATTCTCATAATCAGATCTGTCTACTAAATGACGAAGAACTGAAGAAAGATCTTCTTACCGAAGCTCATTATAGTCCTTTGAATATGCATCCAGTAGGAAATAAAATGTATCAAGATTTGAAGAGTCGGTATTGGTGGCCAGGTATAAAAAATACTATCACTGAGTTTGTTTCTAAGGTGGAGTTTTTACTGTGTAAGGTCTGCAAAGCTCTTATGTCTACGCCACGCAGACATTGGGCTTCGCAGACCGTTTGTTTTTTAGAAGACAAAAGCTCTTCGCGCGTGGTATGCGCGGCGCAGACGTGGCCTTATGTCTTCAAAGGTTTCAAGCCTCTTCAAAGAAACAAAAACCAGATTAGGGATGCTAGATTGACTGCTTCAACGGCTATACAAGGCTGATATATTTTATGTATAACTTCAAATGTTTAAAACAATGCAATCATAGAAAATCGCTCTCACCCATTTCTTGTACTTCTGAAATTGTCTTTTTAATCTTGTTAATGGATTATTTGATTACTGATTTGATTTTTTATACGCGGCTTGTTTATTGAATGTTCTCTTTCAGCTATTGCTATGTCTCGTGATCACGAACCCGATCAAAGTGATGAGCGACAACGGATTGAGAATGCAGGAGGATTTGTCATATGGGCTGGTGCGGGTTTACATCTATCCATTTCTCTTTCGTGTCTTACCATTCTCTTTTTTTATTTTTAAGCTCTGCTATGATTTGTTAAAATTCTTATTTTTATTGTGGCTGAAAATTATCTCTGTAGGAACTTGGAGAGTGGGAGGTGTTCTTACAGTTTCTCTTGCATTTGGTGACATGCACTTAAAGCAGTATGTTCTTGCTGATCCGAAAATTCAGGTCTGGTTGGAAGACTTCAGTGAAATAAGCTTGAGTTCCTGAGATATAAATCATGAATCATAATTATATAGAAATCTTTAATGCACAAACCCAGCATGAAAACTCTATAGGATTCCTGATGATATTAATTTATATGGTATTAAATTTTCATTTTGTACTAGGATTTCTATTGATTTTTTATGGTTATGTAAGCTTATCTCATTTTTTGAGGTTGCAGGAGGAAAAAATTGACAGCTCTCTTGAGTTCCTTATACTTGGAAGTGATGGACTGTGGGATGTTGTATCGAATGAGGTAGGAAACAGTTTGTTTACTTAAAGCCTTGTCGTTGAAGAAAATTTTAATAACTGCATCTTTGTCTTTTATCAGGAGGCGGTGTAAATTGTAAAGCCAATACAGGATCCTGAGTAAGCAGCAAAGCAGTTGATGCAAGAGGCATCCCAGAGGGGTAGCTCAGATAACATCACTTGTGATGTGGTCCGTTTCTTGGTCAATCAAGGACGTCCTTCTTGCAATCCTTCTGTCAACCAAAGAGGTTCTCCCCAATCTCCTTGCAATGTTTCTGCCATTCAAGACGGTTCTTCTTGCAATGTTTATGTCATTCAAGGATGTTCTCCTCTTCCTCCTCCCAATGTTTCTTCCATTCAAGTAGGGTCTTCTCGCAATGTTACTGCCAATCAAGGAGCTTCACCTCTCAATGTTTCTGTCAATCAAGGTGGTTCTTCTCGCAATGTTTCTGTGTAAGCAAGACATAACCCTTGCAACCCATGGTTCTATGTTTATAAGGAGAAACACGAAAAAAAATTATGTAGGCTACTGATGTACATTACATCTGCTGCAGAAATGATATGCGGTTGTAAAAGGAATTCGAAGTCTTAAAAGTCCACTCATGTATGTTGTAAATGTAGTAAAGTTATATATGTATGTATGGTAAATGAAATTTAATTAAACTCTCATTCCATCTCTAAAATTTTATATTTTTATAACTGAAGTTCTCTTTTAAATTTCAGTATTGCAAAACTCTTTTATGTTTAAAAAATTAGTTTATTTATATTTGAGTTTATTTTAGCAGTCTGCAGACGTTAAAAAACAAACAGTTTTCTTCTTGGAGACTGCAGACTTTTGGTCCACCTCTTCTGCTGCAGATGTTTGCAGATGTGGTCCGCAGACTGCATACCTTTTACCTCTGCAAAAACAAACAGCACCTAAATGTCTAACCTGTCAGCAGGTAAAAGTATAACACCAAATATCTTTGGGGTTGTTACAACCTATCTTCATTCCTTAGTGGAAATGGAAATGAGTTACCATGGATTTCGTAACAAGTTTACCTTTGACACCTAGTAAGAAAGATTCGATTTGGGTGATTGTGGATAGATTGATGAAGACATTACACTTTATCCTAGTTCGAGAAGATTATTCTAAGAACAAATATACTAAAATTATATGTCAGAGAAATAGTATGACTTCATGGAGTACTTATTTCGATAATTTCAGATAGAGATCCAAGATTCACTTCGAGATTTTTGAAGTCTTTGTATGAGGCATTGGGAACTTGACTAAATTCCAGCATGACTTATCATCCTCAGACAGATGTTCAATCTAAGCGAACTATTCAGATACTTGAAAACATGCTAAGGGCGTGTGTTATTGATTTCAAAGGATCACGGGAAAAGTATTTTTCTTTAGCAGAGTTTGCTTATAACAACAGTTATCAATCGAGTATCAAAATGACTCCTTTTAAAGCATTTTATGGAAGAAAATGTCGAACGCCACTGAATTGGTATGAACTAAAAGATCGAGATATAATTGGTCTAGAGCTGATTAAGGAGGTGGAAGACAAAGTGAAAGTAATTCAAGATAATCTCAAGATAGTTGCTGATAGAAAGAAATATTATGTTGATTTAAAGAGAAAAAGAGATTGAATATCAAGAAGGTGATAAAGTATTTCTTAACATGTCACCTTGGAAACAGATTATGAGATTCGGGCACAAAGGTAAATTGAGTCCAAGATTCATCAGGTCATACGAGATTATAAAGAGATTTGGACTAGTATCTTATCATATGGTGTTACCTTCAAAGATGGATAAGATTCATAATGTATTTCATGTATCGATGCTTCGAAGGTATTGATCAGATCATTCACATGTGATTATACCAGAGGAAATTGATATTCAGACGGATTTATCATACGAAGAGGATCCAGTAAGGATTATAGAACATGGAGTCAAAGAACTAAGAAATAAGACGATACCACTGGTAAAAGTTCTTTGGTGGAACCGTAAAGTTGAAGAATCAACTTGGGAACGAGAATAAGATATGAAGAAAAAAGTTTCTTCATCTGTTTAATGTAGGTAAGTAGATATGTATGGAAAATTTGAGGACTAATTTTCTTTAAGAGGGGAGGAATTGTAATACCCCAAATTTTGACTAGTGACTAAGATGTAAGTTTTTAAAATTTAGTGGTTAAAGTATAAACTTTGAAAAGATTAAGGACTAAAATTATAATTTTTAAAAGTTATATATTTTAGCCGGGAAATGAATAGTTTGGATTAAAACAGAGATTTTAGTGAGAATCAGATTTTTGGTACAAGATTTGTGTTAAAAGTTATAAAGTAGTAAAGTTCTATATTGAAATCGGATATTCAGATCGAACTGAAATTTTAAGAAATTTTGAAGGATGATAAAAATGGTTGGAAATATTATTTTCATATTTTAAATCTGATAAATTTGGCTCAGAATAGTGCAATATTTCATATTTGACCGAAATAGTGGAATTTAATGACTAAAATGCAATTTTCAAAAATTTAATGGCCAAAGTGAAAAGCCAAAGCAAAGTTGATTCATCGTTGGCCAAGCAATATTTTAATGGAAGATAATACAATGGAATTTGGTAATTTTCAACATTTATTAAGGGTATTTTTGATATTTTTCATTAATTGAATATTAAATTCAATTAATTAGAAAATGTCATGTGTTTTATCTTTTAAATACTGGAATAATCATGAAAATTAAGCCATTTTTAGCTTCTTTCTTCACCAAGGTCGAACTTCCCAAGCAAAAATAGGTAAGATTTTCATTTTCATTTTTCAAGTTATTTGATTAGTTTTTGGGTTAAACTATTAGATAGAAAATTAATCTACGTGAAATTCTCTATCAATTGATATAAATATTTCATGGTGAAGATGATTGTGTGATGATATTTTATGATTAGGATTCAAGGAGGGTTTAGTGATATTAAAGAATTGATGAAGGATTTTTATGTTTTTTATGTTAGTGATTATTTCTAAAGCATGTATAATGATTAGAATTAATTGTACATGTGTATATAAGATTTGGCCATGTTAGGGATTATGGAGAATCTTTGGATTTTGATTCAATTTGATGTTGTGATGATTGAAAATATATGAATTTAATCATAGGAGGTTGAATTCATGCTTGAAAATGAATAAAAAGTTCCCCTTTGTGAGATAAAGCATTTGGCCATAGGGAAGAAAAATGAGGAAAATGTTGAAATTTTTCGTATGGATTAGAAATGATATTAGAAGTATTCAAGTGATTTGGAGATTGGTTTGGATCAATTTGGAACCTTGGAAGTGTAAAAGGGCTAGTTTACAAGTTCTTGGAATTTTGGGATATTATTGTAAGAATGTAATATTTGAGGGATTCAATGTTGATTTTTTTATATTTGTTATGCTGGAAAGTTGGAAAGTTGTTTGGAACCAAATTTGAAAATTTGGTAAAATTTAGTAGTGTAATTCGAAAGGTCCCAAAACCATGGAGACTTGTTTACAAGTTATCAAATGTAGAGGTATTATTTGGGTAAATTATTGAATGCTGGAAAATTTATTAGTATGCTGAGCTTTGAATTAAATATTGAGTTGGGGTTGAATTACAAATTTATAAAGTTAGGTGAAGAAAATCAAATGGTTAGGAAAGTTTGGGTTGAAATTTATAATGTTTTGAATGTTGAAGTATTGATTTGGGTATTTTATTTAAGTGCCAGAATTTTAGTAATTTATGTGCAATGATCATAATGACGAATGACCATTATGAATTAAATGGAAAGGTGGAGGTGAATTCTAAAAAGAATTCATAATCTGTGGCTTATTTGTGTAAACTAGCAAAAGATGAAGGGTTAAGGATAAAAATAAAAATCGAGATTAAATCGATATCAACTAAATCACATTTCCATTATAATTTCCAACATCTCCAAATACTCATCCAAATCCATGAATAATTATTTTATAGATTTTTTAATGTTAAAATCTGCTTATGTTAGTACGATACTAATATGTATTTCGAACATTTTGTGTTATAATTTTGTATTATCAGACTACGATAAATCTAGCAATCCGAACGATCTGAAAGGAAAGGACAAAGCTTGTGACTAGGACTATTGCATACAAGTTTTATATTGAGGCAAAGGTGAGTGTAGTTTATTTATTTAGTTATTATGATTGAGGGCGACTTGTGATAAGTCAACATCACCTTGTTTATTTTCAAAGATATTAATTATGTTTTGATTTTGGAAATATATCTGTAATATTTTAATATGTTTAATGAATGATTTTGGGTGTGTACTGCCCATGTCAAGTTTTATGAATGTGAATTAAATATATTTCTAATTCTGATATGATTTTTATTAAATGATTTCGAAATAAACTGAAAGCCCACTATATGTTATATTGAGAGTCGAAGGTACAATTGGCATGCCATGAGGTTGAGTGATTATTTGTTCTGATTCTGATATAATATGGTGTACCAGAGTGTACACTAGTATATATATATATATATATTGATCTGAATGTACTTTGTGTGCATATTATTATTTCTGATGTGATAGCACTGTGTGTGCTTATCTGTTCCGATTCTGATGATGGTACTAAGATTTGTATTGTGCAAATTCGTTTGATTCACGTACCTTATATTCTCTTAAATATACTCTGGGCTATAAAAATAAAATATGAAAGTTCTGAAAAGTGTCTGACTATAAAGGAATGTTGATTGATTATTATGTCTGGTCTGATTTATTATTGACTTGTGAAAATTATCAGATAATTCTTTTCAGGTTTCCTGTTAAAGAAACAACATGAGATATCCAGTTTGAACGTACTGAAAGTTTTTCTATTTTATTTTAAATGATTTTATATATTTTGATACTTTATTTATTTGTTCTCACCTTTAGTATTACTGCCTCACTAAGTTATACTTAGAACGTGATGATTTCATGAGGTTTTGATTGAGACACGAACGTTTTGTGAGGAGCCCCCAAGCATCGTGTGCAGATCATCTGTAATATTAGTATCAGTAAGACATCATCGATATTTCTTTTGACTAGGCATGTATATTTATGTTATCAACTTGTTTTATTAGTTATGACTAAATGGTCTGTAATAGTAAATTAGCATTGTTTAGTTTGACTAGTTTAGTTTATCAATATTTTGATATGCCTAAATATATAGTAGTTAAAATGTTATGTTTTTAAATGATCCAAAATTTTAAGTAGAAAAAAAATAGTTTTAAAAGTTGAAATTATGAATGTTTTAAAGGAAATAAAATTTTAAACAATAGTGAATAATGATCGTTAGTTAG